ACTCGAGTGTTACGTCTCCGTCAGAGTAGCAAATTCTTGGATTTGTCCTGAACCGTTGACAAAAGGCAGAGGAGTCAACCACAACGTTGAAAAATCTGCCGCCCAAGTTAAAGATGTGATACAGAAAGTTGGGGATTTGAAAGCACGATATGGTAAAAAAAAAAAAAAAAAAAACTAGAGGTCAATTACGACATTGAATAAAAAGAAAGAAAATGGGGGAATGACGGCTGCAATTTTAACAAGCAAACAACCTGAGGACTGCTTTCAAGAAGCTCAAGGTGTGTCCTTGTAACATCTCCATGATGTCCAGCATAGAGTTTTGATTGTGCAAAGACATCCAAAACTATTTAGATAACTAATACAGGAATAGTTTTAAATGCCGAGTACCTATGTATTCATCCATCCATTTTCTATACCCCGTATTCCCAATTGGGCTCATTCTACAAATCCGAAAACACAGTTGTATGTGACGCAGATGCTTTCAGTGCTGAGAATGGGGTTGAATTGTTTACAATTGGAGGCCCATGATGCTAATACGATGCTAATAGGGTGATCTGCAGTAATTCCTTTAGAATGACGGGATTCAGAAAGGATCTAGACTTAATTCATGGAATACATTACCCTTAAACTTATAAAGAATCTCATGGAGGCTGCTTTTAATATCTCACTTAGCTCTTTTTAGGGTTAGGGTTAACCCTAGCTCCATGAACATAAAGGACGGAAGCTGTTTATACGTCGTCTTCTCCATCAGTATTAATTATGTATTAGCCTTACAATTTATTGCATTAATCAATCCCTGCTGAGTGACAATTGGTGTGGAAGCATGGCGGCCATTGTGCCATTCCAGGCCGCCGCAATCACACAGTCCCACTAACACGTTCACACAAGGGCAAGTTGGTTTAGCGTCTTCTAGACGAGAGTCTAGAGAATAAATCCTACATGAGTTATGTGGTAATGTGGTGTCCTCAACAGAGGGCGATAAAGGGGCGCCTTGGGATTGTGATGCCAGCCGAAAAACAAGCATAATTTCAAGCCGTGCAACAATCATCTGTGTTTTATCACAGGGAAAGGATCACCGATGGCCACTGTTAGGTCAGCCCGACGGAAAGAGGTCTAGGGAGTCACAGAAGTGGCTTTCAGGAGACGGAGCTAGCCGAGCAAATATCTGCCGCTCACTGACCTTTTTAAGTGGATTACATGTCCCGTCAGTGCTGTGGTAAATGAGAGGGCAGAGAAAAGAAGTGAACAGCAGGGTGGAAAGGCTGATATTTAACACGGTATTTGGGCAGAATTATTAATTTATTTCATTCCACATTAGCTTTAGGCTTTTATAAGAAATCTTCGCACATCACACATCAGCCAGTGTAGGCAGACAGAAGGTTTAGTTGAAGGCCTTTAGTTGACTTTATCGTTTAAGTTGTGGTGGTATACTGAGATAATACTGAGATGAAAGACAGTTCAAACACAGTAAAAATGAATAGCTTTCCTGGTGCATCGCTCTCAGGTTTATTCTCATATTTTGTATCCCACAGTGTATTAGCCATGTACACTTAAAGCCTCACCATAACCAGCATTTTCTTTGGGACATCATCACACAAACATAGCCCCCCTTTTTAAAAAAAATAAAACCTCACGATGGAAACCGATTATGGAATAATCTACAAACAAAAAACTATCATTTTTATCATGTTTTTTTCCCTTTGCTCTAGTTTTGCAAGGCCTCTGCTTTTCCATTTTCATGGTCCCTTGGATTCATTTAAGGAGTCTTTTTTAACGAGGCTTTACTAGATGAGGCACAGTAAAGCCTGCTTTAATGCTGTCAAAATGGGAATCTATGTTGTAAACGGTACATTTTTCAGATTTTGATACTGACTTTTTTGTCTTTGCAGCCTTTATAGTGCAAATATTATCCTCTAGGAGTTAAGGGCTGCATACACTTAGGAAAACGACTAACCTAGCCTGTTTTGGTCATGGATATCAGTTTTTTTTTGTCTGTTTGTTTGAATACGCGATTAACAAGGGTTGGCTGGAAATGACCGTTGTCACAAATCAGAAGCAGTAATTCACATAAGCACACCCTGATTTATCGTTTGTTTAAACTGGATCATAACTCATACGGTAAATATCGTGCTGCATCCAAAGACACTTCAGACAAGCAGAGAAGTTCAAATTTACCTTAACACAAATTGGCTAAAGGTTTCTATAGTGGTGGTTTTATAGTGGTGTCTTCTTCAAATTAAAGATTAATATTAGACTGAAATGAGAGAATGCCATCCGAATCATTCTTTACTCTGTTCACTCATAAAAAAGTAATACAATTACAGATACAAAAACCTGTTTCCTTTGAGCTCAAGCAGCAGCTTGAGTTCAAAGATATAAGAAGCTCATACAATATCATACAAAACACCCAAATATATTGTTGAAATAGTCTCATCTGATGTGATCACCGAGCTGTTAATAAGCACCCTAGACTGTTTAAGAGGTTTATCCAAGTACAGGCGAACTGTGTCTTTTTTTCTTTTTTTTCTCCTACCGGGCTAAACAACAAGTAAAGAAAATACGGATGAGACAGCAGGAAAATGGATGGATGAATTGTGAGAGTGCGAGCTGCTGGTCTGGGCGTGGGAGAGCAGACTGCATTGAGTGGAAGCAGACCAGAGACTAATTTGGAGATCCCGGGCTTGTGAAAACACCCAGGCACACAGTCTCACACACACACTGGCATACACATACACTCTGGCTACCCAAGTGTGGTGCAAAAAGGCCACGTTTTTGTTTTTTCGGTGCCCCCTTTTCCAGCTACCAGAAGTCCTGACGTGTCAAAGTCGGAGATGGGATTCGAACCCACCACCTCGACTGCGAAACCACGTCGCGTTTTAATCTCCCAACTTTACAGGAGGACGAAAAATGCACGCTGCTCTCCATCAGGCCGCAAATCGGCACGGAGACAGAGGGGACTGTCAGCTTGTGGTTAACACCCGTTTTATAACTGTGCAGGTATCCTGCACACACAGGAATGTGCCAAATGTTTTGTACACACACACACATGCATACGCATTGTCTGCCTAGATGTGTTTCTATGAAAATGTGCCTGAGAAACTCAAAAGGCACAGTTAATTCTAAGCAGCCGTACAGGGATAACGTTCTGGTTGTTTAGTGGATTTAGGATGCAGATTGGGATCATATGCATTGTGGACAGAACCATCTGAATCCTTTGGGGGTCTTTGAGGAATATTTTTGCCAGCTAAATGCCAACGTGACTGCCTTTATTTGCTTGTTTAGTGAACCTTTGGACAAAAAAACTCACGGTTTTTAAGAACGGAAGATATATATATATATATATATATATATATATATTCCAAAAGTGAAAGATCTTGAAAAATAAAATTGGACATGATTAGATTTTCTTCGGTTTTACATTCACATGCAGACTCAGTGAGACCTTTCACACTGTTGTCACGCTGTGCTGGATCCAAGGAAATATTACATAGCCATCATTGAGGCTGCAGAGAGGCCTGCGTAGAACCAGATCTTCTAGCTACATGGTGATAAAATGCAAATAAAAGCCTGCATTGCAGCTCAGTACAAGAACATAAACGTGACCTCATGCATGCAATCGACGCACACAGAAAAACAAAGATTTTCACCTCCAGGAAACCGTTTGTGGCGTATGTGTGACTCCGATGTGTAGAGTTACACAAATGTCAGTCTGTCGTGGATACACCATCAGAGTGTGCGTTTGGATGATTTCGGGAGGGCGTTTACTGCCTGTTTTCCAAGCATTTAGATGCAATAAATACATACTTTGAATTACAGATGCACAAATCAAATTATAAAGACCATCCATTTGATGATAGTTATATATTTCAGCTCCAATTCATTACCAGCCATTGTAATAATTGAACAGTACAGATAATTCAAGGCTTGAAACTATACAGTGAGCTTCTTATTTTACTTTGAATGACTGGAATGAGTTCAACAGAACAGTCAAACCTAGTCTGATCCGGTTTTTAGATGATACGATTGCAATCTGTTGTATGTAATGTCAGCTTGCCGTCTCACGTCCACAAGTCGGGTATAAAATTTGTTTTAGTTTCTAGTTTTATAACCATTCCACTCGTGTTCATTTTCACATGGGGACTATTAGTACAAAAAGCAAGATGTATTCTGGGAAATCCCGCTGCTGGCTTTCAGGCCCAGCCGTGCAAGGGTTAAATGGGAAAATAAAACAGAAGAGAGGCTCGCAATAATGTGCAGCTCCAATAAAACAGTCAACACAAACACATGGGCGCAGAAGGCGGCGCAGACACAGAAGAATGCCAACTCGTCTGCCTGTGTGTCCTCCCCGCCTCTCGACCTGGCTGCCCGGCATGCGTGCAATTGATGCCCATCTGGCATCCAGTGTCAATATAGCATGGGAAAAGTTAATCAGCTTCTTGGCTCTCCCACTGCCTCCTTGCCTTTCCTTTAACCCCGGAGCGCTCTCGGCAGAGCACAAGTTTCCCAACAGAGCCCACTGGTCATTTTTTTGTTGAGAACAGGTAAAGATAAACGTGTTTTCCCCCCCTAAAGATTAGGCTTCTCGACACTGTTTGGGTCTTGCTGACCTTGCACTTCTCATCTCGCCATCAAACAAGCGTGCGGGAGAGTCCAAGGACTTCTGGGCTGTGGGAAGAAATTCTCCCCTAGGGGAGCCGAAGCCTGCAAGGCTGCAGGAGCATGATGTCAGAGTGCCCTCTAGTGGTTTGGACGTGAGCTTCAAGCCGAAATATGAAAACTACGAGTCTTAGTTGAAACGCAAATGGTCACCACAGCCATGAACTTTTAGGACCCTCTTGGCTTGCTTACATAGACGTTTCAGTTTGGTTTGTAAATGCATTTTGCATTTGTCACATCACTTTTAGTTGTATGCATTTGAATGTTGCTGAGGTTTTCCTGGTATCGGTGAATGTTTGATAATCGTCTTTTGATAAAACCTGTGTTTCTCTCGTTTCTTTTTCAGGCTTGCAATGGATGTGCAGGATCCAAATGTGACTGCAGTGGAGTGAAAGGAGAAAAGGTTGGCAAACCGCCACAGAAATACACATGGAGAAAACAATTGGACCTCTTACAAGCTTGAAACGACTCATTCAAGACCATTATGAAGCTTTTGGGGTTCATTTTAGTTAGGATTGAAAATGTCCTTATCATTCCAAGCTAATCAGTTTTATTCACGATAAATTCATGCTGGACTTGTAGAGCATCAGATAATTGTGATAGCAGCTACATTTACTGATCCCATTTTTGAGACTTGAACGGACAAACTTCGATAATGCTGTTATGATTCAAATAAACTAAAGTGCTCAGCAAAATATAAATGTGTAGAATTAGACAACTACAGGTAGTCACATAGCTTAACAAATCTGACAGTAAACATAAAGCAGCCCATTGAGAGAACATGTTAACTTGTGGCTGTAAAGCATTCTCTAGTTGTCGCTCTGCTCTAATAAAATTCCTATTTTATAACCACAATGCCATCGTTTAAAAGTTCCATTCAAGTGTCTCAAAACTAATATATGTGCACGGAGTTTAGCTGTACCAGCATGTTCAGTTTAAAGCAAACGCTCCATTCCACAATGATTCATTCTTATTCATACAACAGCCATAGGACTATTTCTCCTTAGCACATTTGGAATTAACCTGCATTTTCAGTCAAGCAAACAGAAATGCTAACAAGGATTATTGCTGACAGCAATGGAATCAACCTCGAAGGCACAAATTTGAGTTAACTTCTTTTCTTTTTTAGCAAAAATAACTGTGTAGGCATGTCTTTGGGTTTTTAGTCAAACTAAAGCATATCCCTTATGTGTAAAACATGTATATCATGTAACGGTTTAAGTATTGCAAGTATTACACACAGTTTTGTGTGTGTGTGTTTGACATCCAGGGTGAGAGGGGTTTCCCTGGTCTGACTGGACAGCCCGGAGTCCCAGGATTCCCCGGACCTGAAGGACCAATCGGACCCAGAGGAGAGAAGGTGGGTTAGGTGAAGAAATGGGGCAGAGGAAGGTGTTCATGTCTGGAAACAACATTGTAGTCAGCACTTACTACACACAGACCTACTAATCACAGGTCTCGACAAACTTGTAGTAATAGAAATGAGCAACTGGGCTGAAATTTGATTGGGTGGCGGGGTTAACTGTGAGCTCGCTAACGACATGGCAAAAAAAACCTTTTTGTACAGAGAATGTTCCAATAAAGAGCTAAGTACACATGCATGGAACTCTACCTTCCAAATTCAAATTGTCCAATATGTTCTAGAAAAACTGAAATCACAAATTATACACAAATACATAACACTGGTACTTTTTTTTATCTCCATTAATTAGCTCATATGCAACCACTTAGGAAAATATTTCAAACTAACCATTTTTACTTGTCTGAGAATTTTATAATACATTTGAATTTAGTTGCTTTCATTGTCCAGTCAAGCTTTTGAAGCAAAAGCAAGATGGCCTCCATAGCGAACACATTAACAGGTGATGTACTACAGAATGGTTTAACAGATTAAGTTAACCTTCCTTTTTGAAAGAGTTTAATAACTCCAGTCATCTTTAAGTAAAGGAAAAAGCAAAAGCAAAAGCTTTATTTCAAACATTTTAACCAAAGGACAGTTAACTGTTAAAGCTGGTTTTGTTTTAGTTGAATTTTTTTAGTGTTTTGCCAAGCCCTGAGATGATAATTTTTTCCAAGTTTCCTAGGTCTTTTTACTAATCCCTTTTAAAAGAGCGCATGGAATGGAAATCCTCACATGTGGTTGTAACCCCTGAAAATCCCTTAAATAAAAAAAAATAAAAAAACACATGCATGTTAACGGAAGGTACAGTTAATGTGTGTAAAACATGTTAATCTGACAGACATTTGAAAACTAGTCAGCAGCTGACTTTGTTTCTTTATGGATGTCCAATTGTTGTGGACTGACCATTGATAACAATGTAACTTTGGGATTGCGTCTGATCCTGCAATGCTGTGAGGTTTCACAGAATAAAATAGAAACATGCTTCTCCCTTCCCTGTGAAATTCTCACTTTTGTGTGGCTCCAAATTACAATCTTAACAATGATTGTGTATTTGTGAAAAAAATAAAAATCTAATTGGATTAAAAAGCACAATAATATAAAAATATTGTATACGGTATTCAAAGAGAATGTATTCAGTTATCTTTGTAGTCATCTCTTCTTTTCATTTTATTCCTTTTCAGGGAGATGAAGGACCTCAGGGACCATTTGGTCCTAAAGGAATCAGAGTAAGTGAATCCACTTTTGTTTCAGTAGTTTTGCCGGCGTGTCTCATGAACATTACATTGTGAGCTCTTAGGAGCTTTGTCACCTCTAGAAATATAAAGCATAGTTTACTTATTGTGTAATGGTAAGATTTTATATAAATTGATTGAAATGTATGAAAAACATGGTTTCTTTAAATTTTGCATTTATTTAATTGTTGGACAAAAGATTTTAGGCTGCAATGACCACTTCTAGCCACTAGATGTCCCAATTTAACCTTATTCCAACCAGTCCAGGTGAAGATTTTTTTTTTTACATCCAAATTTTAAGTTGCTGATTTTGATCATGATTTTGCTTTCATCAGGGACCTCCTGGTTTGCCAGGATTTCCAGGAATGCCAGGCCTCCCAGTAAGTATTAAACAACCCGAAAGCCCTTTTCACTCATTCAAATTTTGCTTGATTAACCTGTTTATTTTTTTGTCTTCCAGGGTCTTCCGGGCCAAGATGGCCCTCCAGGGCCAAAAGGAATCCCAGGCTGCAATGGGACAAAGGTATCCCACTTAAAGTCTGGCAGAAATGAATACTAAACTAATTTTAAAAGATTAGTTGAGTTATTTTAAGGGTGACAATGACAAGTGATTTACCTTTTTTTGCAATGCAAATGAATGTTTGCATTTTGAATTCTCACATCAAAGAATCCCTGATTTACTTCTTCTTCTTTTACAGGGGGAGAGAGGTTACCCAGGAAGTCCAGGCATACCTGGCTCACAAGGGTACCAGGTGAGTCGATGAACAAAGTCTTTGTAACAGCGCCATCTGGGTTTCTGATCAGTAAAAACTAAAAAAAATGGACGCCATTTTTCTCAGCCTTGACGCAAATGTCGTATAATCAAGAGGAAATTCAATTTTTTTATTTATTCAGCAAAACAGCAAGTCTTGACGTTAATGTTAAGTTTTTTTTGTGTCAGAAATCTCTGAACTAGCTCCTCTCCTCATATTTATCCATATAAATCCAAATGAAAGGATTTACAAACAACATTTGCAGGATGTTGATGTCTTTCTTGTTTTTTTAAAGGACTGTCCTGTCTCTTTTTCCTCCTTTCTAGGGTCCGCCTGGTGTACCTGGAGAAAAGGTAATTTCAACACTAACCAGTGTAGAATCATCACACTCTTTTCTACCTCTTCTATTTTAAACTGTCAGTAAGGGCTGTGGTTAAAAAGAATATGGCCTTTTAAATGACAAACCATAGTGGAGAGCTGCGGGGTTGTCCGATTGGCAAATCGAGGTTAAACATTGAGGGGGCTTGAAGGGCAAAATCTGCTGTCTGATCGTAAATAAAGTAATATTATCACACAAATATAAAGTTTTTAAGTGGCTTAAACATTCAAAAAGAAGACTTTAATTCCGTTTTTACGAAGAAAGCAAAACACATTCTGTTTTGTGTCTTTGTCTTGTTGCTCAGAGGTTATTGGGAAAAAATTCCTGTAAGTTCTGTAAAGGTTCAATTTATTGTATTTATGTATCTATTTTTATGTAAAAGTTATCATGGCTTGTTAGACGTTTTTGTGAGTTTAAATCCTCGGCTCCCGTTTGGATCTTGGGCCAAGATTTGAATGTTTATTATTAAATTAATTGATATTATACATTGTGTTTATTCATTAAACTATATCATTTCTGTTAACATAAAAAAATTACTCTAAAATATTCCTTAGAGTTTCAGCCTTTACCCACAAAGCCTCCTGTTTTTTCCACGTTTGGCCACCAGATGTCGCCGTTTCCCCAAAGTTGACCAACTTGCCCAAATGAGGCACTAAATCGCATTTTAGAGCTGACACAGAAGTTCAGGGCTCATCTCAGCATCTTTAACCGGTGTTCTTGTCTTCAGGGAGATCCAGGTGATGTGATTTCCAGCAATCGTTTTGGTGAAACAGGATCCGTGGGATTGCCTGGACTGCCAGGAGCTCCTGTGAGCAAATTCTTCTTTATCTCTGTCTCTTAACTTGTAGAAAATATGTAAGCTCCTCTATGGTTTAACATTGAGATTCTAAATGTTTGACGTATGCAAAATAAAAATGTATTGAAGGTGTGTAGCAGACATATTTCCAACTAAAGATTCAAAATTAAATCAGTAGAAATAGAATGCAAATATGTTCATAAATTCCGAAAAACAAAAGAGATGCAAAACGGCTCCAACATTCTGGCCCCTAATTGATCATACTATGGCAATTCAACACGTACATTCACAAGGAGCCGTGCATTTCAAAAGAGCATTCAAATAAACTCTTTCACATTCACTTTTTGTCTCTTTTTCACATTAAGTCCCTTTAAGTATTCAAAAATCAGAAAATTATTTTCTGGATAAAAGTAGTCCTTTCAAAAGAAAAATCAAGGGATTTCCAAAAAATTCAAGAATTAAGTTAATTTTAGTCATACAGACAACATACAGTAAGCCTACCATAGTCATAGACTGTTAGTCATATTTTCAGATATTCAAAAGCGGTTCAATTTTTTTTCGCATATACAGCCATTCACTCAATCAACATCCTTCCAGATACGCATTCACATCATCCTCTGTTTCATATTGTGGCTTTATTTCTTGGCTTGGCTCAAGATCCTCTAACACCTTTAATTTACTGTGTGAAATAGCAAGATCTCCTTGTAATTGAAGTGTTTCCGTTTTTGCTTGTAACTTCACCTTTTCCCGTTCTATTTCGTGCTTTTCCCTTAAAACTTTTGCTTTAGCCAATAAACCAGCTTTGTCAACTGCTATTTGAACACGAATAGATGAGACTGTGGAGGATATTTTTGAAGTCTTTGATGCAGTCTTAGATACCCTGGACGCAGTGTCAGTCACATCAACTAGTTTCTGTGGATCTATGTTTTGATGTTTTAACCATTCATCAACATTGGCAAGGAATTCGTTACATCTAGCCATTCTAGGTTCATACCAATCAAGATTTTCACTCTCTCTCACATCAGACAACAAAGCTTGAGTAGACTCGTGACAGAACTTAAAATCATTCAATATTGTGTGGAACGCAACATCGACATTCTCACACATTATAGCTCTGATTTAATTCATTTTGCGAGTGCATTGTCCAAGTTTACCACGCCGAGTTGCGCTGAGCGCTTTGAAAGACAACTCGCTTTTATGGCCTTGCTCTTCCAAGCCTGTGGCCTCATTCTGGCTTTCATCATCAGACATGATCTCAGTTTATTTTAAGTCTTTCGTTTAAATTCGTTTCGCATCTTTCCAAAAACAACGTCAGTATTCAACAGTTCAGTTCCGTTCATTACGCGCATTCATTTAGTTTAATTTGCACGCATCCAAGCGCTTAAACTTAGTTCTTTTTTGTTGCATGCCCATTTGTTTCCTTTCAGTCAGCGATTCAAATAACGTCCACAAAACACAGTCTATTTGATCGTATTAACATTGTCCAATGACATTAAACGTGTCCGCTTCCAATAAACACGTCGGCATTCAGTTCAGCAACAGTAACGTTAGATGAGCGATTGCGCTGTTAACGTTATTGTCCATCCAAACTATTCCAGTCTCTCGAAATGTTTGCTCACCTGGGTCGAAGAACAATAAGGCCACCAGGTTACTCACAGAACAGATGAGACGATGATTGCCTGGTAACGTTAATTCCACACACGTCTTGAAGTAATCCACAAGTCTTCCAAGTAATCCACATTGGAAACGTTAATCCACAAAAGCACTCCCGCATCACGCGGTTGAAAAACTGTTTGCCACTCCACCTGACCGGCAGGTGACAGCACCTATTAATCAATCAGCTTGTCAGTGCCACGCCCACTATACAGGAAGAGCAGCAAATGAGCATGTCAGAATGAAAACAGACATATTTCCAACTAAAGATTCAAAATGAAATCAGTAGAATTAGAATGCAAATATGTTCATATGTTCATAAATTCAGAAAAACAAAAGAGATGCAATGTTAACAAAAGCTGCCGTGATATTGAGAAAGCTCCTTCGAATTATTATGGTGAATCAAGACATGTATTTTGCTCATTTTTCTTTGTAATATCCGCCCTTTTTAATTGCTCTGCCACTAAAAGTCTTTGCTGTGTCTCTTCATCTCACAGGGACCTTCTGGACCTCCAGGTTTACAAGGTCCGCTTGGCCCTCCCGGACCCCCAGGCTTTGACGTAAGGGAGTGCCACATCAACACAATATCACAGCTTTTTGTTTTTTTGTTGCACAATCAGTCAGACTAATGCTTTGATTGTATACTTTTCAGGGTCGCCAAGGTCCTCCCGGTCCTCCCGGACCCAAGGTAAAATTCAAATAAGTCTTTTTTTCCCATGGATAAACAGGGACAAGATGGCCTCATGCCATATTTCTCCAATTTTCAAAATTCTGATGTATGAATGTATTTCTTTTTTCCTAATAGGGGAACATGGGATTGAACTTTGAGGGACCCAGAGGAGAAAAGGTACAGTACAAGTTCAAAAGAATCAATAAAAATTAAGATTTTCTTTTCATTTTCATTCAGTTATATAAACAGAGTTTTCCTTGTGTGATAACAGGGTGATCAAGGTTTGCCAGGACCTCCAGGTCCTCCGGGACAGGTTGGGGAACAGAAGAAGTCCCCAGATTCGGAGATCCAGAGAGGAGACAAGGTATAGTCACTCTGGCAGTCTGCATTAAACACACAAAGAATGACAACTATAAGTCAGAGAGGAAGTTTTTAACCAGTTTAAAACAGTACAGTCAGAAGAGTATGTTTAAAATTTGGCAAAATCCAGAACAAAATCATCCGAATGCTTCAAATCTGAGATAGTGTACTCGATTTTGGGGGGAAGAAAATCCATCATTCAGCGTATAGATAGACAAAATAATATTTGTGTAAACGTTCTTGTTCTTTTTTAACCATGTTGAGCAGAAATATTAACATATAAATTGGAGACTGGATTTGAAAAAAAAACTAAATAAGCTTGTGTTTTACTAGGAAAACCAAATTCTTTCAATTACCACAGTTCACCACTAGAGGACATTATCACAACGGATTGTTCTACTTTCAACATTTAGCCACACTTTAATCTAACTAGTCTTCTCTGACAATTTGAATTGGCCCTAAAAGCTCAGGGTAAGCTCAGATTCTCATACCCTGAGCTTTTAGGGCTCAGATTCTCACACCCTGAGATTTTAGGGCCAGTGTTCAGTAAAGACTAGTAAAGCTGATTTATATTCTGTTCTTTGTCCTTTTCTGAAGGGTGACCCAGGACCTCCCGGCCCGAGAGGTGACCCTGGTTCTCCCGGAGCTCCTGTAAGTACATGAAACCAGCTCAGAATCTAGAAGGCGTAGAGAAAAATGAACTGAAGTGGACAGCCAGCCATGTTTATGTGTATGCCGTTTATATTTTAGGGTCCTTCTGGTGGACAGAAAGGAGAGAAGGGAGAACCAGGAGAGATAGGCAAGCGAGTAAGTACAGCTCTGTAGTCTCCTGCCAAGATCCAAGTCACGATTGACAATCCATGTTTGATTTCAACGATTGACAATCTTATCCTCTTTTCAGGGAAAACCGGGCAAAGATGGGGATCCAGGTTCTATTGGATTCACTGTAAGTTCTTCTAAAAACTTCCTAACTTGTGACAGATTGTTATTATTATAAAAAATGTAGATTTTACATGTCTAATTGTTTTCACCATCAGGGAATTAAAGGCGAACCAGGCCCACCAGGTTCTCCTGGCAGGGATGGGGTTGGAGTATGTATCATCCACGTCTTCTGTATTTTTAAAGTAACAGTGTGAAAGCAGATGTCATTAACTGAATCATTTGCGCACCCCCTCTTACTCCTTATAGGGTGAAAAAGGTGACCGTGGAGTACCAGGTCCTCCAGGACTGGTGTGTATTATACATTTTTCTTAAAAATATGTGTAAATAATCTTTGTACATATTTCTAGCTATATTGTTTTTTTTCTTATAGCCCAAAGTATTTGCAGCATTAGTTATCACAACACCCAAACTTAGTAAAAATTAACTGGAAATGAAATTCTATATTTTTGGGAGAAAATTATTGAATATAGAAAAAAAATCAAAATTTGTCATTTGTCATTTCTCTTCTATCTTCTCTTTTTCCTCTATCAGTAAGTCATGGTTAAAAAATACCTTTCATTGTAAAACGATTAGGCAGCTGTGTAACTATGTATGTATTTTTAAGGGGTTAGTTTACTGTTCGTTATCCTCCTAAATTCCGCTACTTTCATTGTTGTGTCAGGTGATTGGTCCATCGAATCAGGCCGGTCCTAAGGGCGAGCCCGGGTACCCGGGAGTACCTGGAACTAAAGGAGACAGAGGCCCACAAGGTAAACATAGTTCACAAAAACAATGCAGTCATCCACGGTGGATGATTAGCATTGAACAAACAAACAAAGGTGCAGCTTTAGTTAGCTCAGCATACACAGATTTGAACAGAATACCATGTTGAAGTTGTAATATTTCATTCTATTGATAAAACAGAAAATCTTTTAAACACTGTTCAGTCAGAAGAACCATTTCTTAAACTGTCAATGGTGTCTAGAAAATCCCAAGTGTCAGGCAACACCTTTTTTATTTGTTTACCTTTTTTCTCTGCTTTTGATTGAATGCAGATTCACATTCTGCCTGAGAGATGTTCATCTTGTTTTAACCCCTAAAAACGCTTGATTTTAAATCTCATCACTGTCCATTTTCTGTTCTTTTTTTTAGCTGTGACTTTAACAGTTAAATTTAGACATTAACACTGAGTCTCCCTTTTAGTGTCAAGAAGAAAAGAGTAAACTAGGGTTACTTTTCATTCATTGCTAGTTCTTGAAGGTTTCCTTTTGCCAGTTGGTCTGAATGGTTCATGAAGGGGAAACTGAAATCATATGATAGGACCTTAGGATATTCTGGAACTCTCGGGAATAGTCTACATGCTACTAACTTTTTCTGTCTGTCACCAGTATCCTCTGTATGCTCTCAGAATGGATCCTTTTTAGAGTAATTTAAATCAAACCATTTCAGAAGCTAAAGCTTCAGAGGCTTTTTATCATAAATGATTTTCATCATTCAGTGGATTATTAAAGATGAATATAACTTCTAACCTATTCCCGTCTGACTTCTTCAGGCTTTACCGGACCTCCAGGAGAACCGGGACGTCCAGGTTCTGGTTTCGGTGGCCCTCCTGGTCCTCCAGGAGTTCCAGGACTACGGGGTGACAGAGGAGACCCGGGCATTCCGGGAGCCTCTTTGCCAGGCAACCCAGGACGGCAAGGAAACCCAGGGAGTCCAGGCCCACCGGGGCCCCCTGGACCTCCAGGCTTTTCCACCGACAGAACAGACTGTGTTACTGGGGAGCCTGGGATTCCCGGCCCTCAGGGAGAGAGAGGTTATTCTGGAGAGGTGGGCCAGAAAGGTAAGAGAGTGAAGTATCGCTCATTGAAACATCTTTGAGTGAACTAAGCTTCTGAAGTATCATGAAACAAAGGGGTATTTGGCAGTCAGCTCTTTATGTGCCATTTTCTTTCAGGTGAAAAGGGAGACACCTGTGTCAACTGCATTGGAAGCGTCAATCCTGTCCCTGGACCCCCCGGACCTGAAGGCCGGCCTGGCTTTCCTGGTAATGGCCTTTAACATCACAACTGGCCGATTCTACTGCTACCTGCTTCGATGCATCTTAGTGCCTGTGATGCAGCTGTCTGGATCCCAGTTACCTAAAGCACACTTCTTTGGGACCTTCAGCCCTAAATCCTAAGTTTGGAAGATGCAAATTGTAAAAGAAAAAAATCAAATCCTCTAAACTTTTTTTTGACTCAGAGCAGAAGTTAGTCTTTTTACATTTTACACAAGATTTTTTAATCAAACCATATTCGACTTGCCTTTTCTATATAGAATAGAGTGTCAAAACGGAGACTGTAAAATGTAAATGAAGCAGAATTAAACAAGCAATGTCCAAAGTAACTATTATATGTACAATTTAAGATATTATGCAACTTATTATTGTCATATCTATGAAAGGTCTTTACGATTTCTGTTTACCACAGTTTTTATAGTTATTTATTTGTAGACCCCTGAACCTCAGCCAGTTGTTTTACCTGTGAGACTCTGCCTCTTTAAGGCCCTCTTTTTTTTTCTTTTTGGGAATTTATTTACAAGTCAGCTCATTTTTATTTGATTAGAGGATACCAGTATACCCCAACATTGTTCTGACACACTGCTAAGACATGTAGTACTTTTTAAGATGTACTCGTATTTGTTTCGTTAAGCTGTTTTAAATGATCATTTAGAATAGTTTTGATTAATTCACTGTGCCTTTAAGGCAGATGCTGGTATTTATGATTCCTTTATATGTTTTCTATCAGGATCTCCAGGCCCCCAAGGTTTTAAGGGAGACAGAGGATCTCCGGGAATACCTGGCTCCTCTGGAACCCCTGTAAGTTATAAATTTTTTTTATCCCCACTGTGGTGCTTAACAATATTTGCACTGTTTTTAATCTGAAATATCATGATTTCATGCAGGTCCGCAATCCAGAAAAAAAAAAACTCAATTAGATGAGAAAGATGATCCATTCTTACAGATTTGAGTATACATGCGCAGACCAATTTTTACAGGGCATGCTTGTACAGCTACAAAAGAGTTTTCCTCATTCCACAGACAGATTGTGTACAACAACAAAGGACACCATAAAAAACTTTAAATAGTTTTTTTAAATCAAATCAATGATTAAAAAAACGATGAGAAGTTTAGCTTTTGTGAAAGTTAAACCTCAAAAGCTTCAGAGAAAGAAGGAGGGCCATTGATTGTCTTAACAGAGCCAAATATTTATGGAATGGAGTTTAAGAAGATCTCCAGAATGAGCATAAGTAGACAACTAATTGAAGAAGGCTTAAAGGGAGGAATAGACTGGAAGAAGCCAATATTGAGGCTGAAAACATCCAGAAAATATCTGGGTTACTGGAACTGATGGAGGAGCCAAGGCAAAGGACATTTTTAGCAAAGCTGTGAAACAAGATGGTCATAATTTGCACTTGATGGCACCTACATAGCATCTTATCAATAATGGGACAATGCATTTTGAATTATACAGCAAATTCCAAAGGTGCACTTCATTGAATTTGGAAGAGAGTCTACTAATCGTAAGACCATAAATATTTCTGTCAGCTCCTCGGTATTTAAATTAAATTTACTCTAAATTTCTAGGGTCTTCCTGGTGCTCAAGGTCCTCCAGGTTTCAATGGGGAGAAGGGAGACCCGGGTGATGCCATTTCAGTCAGCGGAGTGAAAGGGGAGAAAGGTGACACCGGCTTCCCTGGACCTTCTGGTCTGCCTGGCCTGGATGGTCGACCAGGCCGTGAAGGACAGCCCGGATCTCCTGGTATTAAGGGAGCTTCTGTAGGTGGCTTTCATTCAGTCTATCCATATACACCCATCCATGTTTGATTTCATAACTCATGAGTGTTTGGCAATGGCCTGCAGGGCTCTTTAACGGTTAAAGGAGAGCGAGGACCCCCTGGTGAGCCAGGTGTCTCTGGCATTCCTGGGGACAGAGGTCCCCCAGGTGCCCCCGGCTATGGACCTCCAGGACCACAAGGTCAGAAAGGTGTGCAGGGTGTATCGGGAAGACCTGGAGGTCCCGGCGCACCAGGTGAGAAATCAACTACACATAAACTTCCAAAGGCTGTTATATGAGGCCAAAGTGGAAAACATTTCAATCACCTAACAATCTTTCAGAAGTAAACCTTCCAACTACTTCTGCCAAAGATCTAACTTAAATATTTTTTGGAACAAAGCCCTGTATGCAGACTAGCTCAAAATACCCGTTTCAAGCAGGGTGCTGGAGGACTGGCAAATTTGGCTTGTTCTGCAGCAATAGGACCATGGCACTTTACAATTGTTGGGCCAACTTAAAATCCTCCGCTTACTAAAGAATTCAAGAGTAAACTATCCGTTATCAAACCAGGTCGTGAACCAGGACAAAGATTCCAAACACAGCAGTAATCTATACTTCTAGATCTATACTGCAATTACTAAAAATGACAGTGTTACAAGGGGTAAGTAAGGTTTTACAATCAGAAAGTAACATGGGACCTCTGAATCGTCCACATGCTGTTTTGGAATCTTAAGAGATCTCAAACAAAAATCCCTAATTGAGCTAAGGTGTGTTCTACAGTGACTCAAAATGAATGAAAATGACAGTACATGTATAGCTGTAGAGCTTGTATATGTGAGGCCTGGGGAAATGAAACTATGTCACCTTTTGTTTCCATTGTGCAGGCTCTAAAGGTGAACCAGGTCTGACTGTGGCAGAGAAAGGTTTACCAGGCCCTGCAGGACAAGATGGCCAGCCAGGACTTCCTGGTCCAGCAGGTTTGGGGTCACATATGTCCAGTCAAGTCTTTTTTTTCTGTTAAGGAGAACTGCATTTAAATGCATACCTCTGCCTTTCATTAGGTTCCCCAGGTCAGCCCGGACAGCCTGGTTTCCCTGGTTCACCTGGTGAGAAGGGTGATCCAGGAATTCCAGGCATTGGACTTCCAGGTCCCCCAGGAGTTAAAGGTAAAACTTCTTCCTTACCACTAATTTTAATATTCTCCTGTCCATGTCATGTCTCTATACCTCCTAACATCTCCTTCTTTTGGGGTACAGTAAGCCTTTTGATCCTCTCTCTCTGCCTAATTTCCCAGGATTCCCTGGTACTCCTGGTCAACCAGGACCTTCCGGAGAACCTGGGAGGCCAGGAGTGGATGGACGGCCGGGACAGCCTGGTGCACCTGGATTCAAGGTTGGTGCATGCAGTATGGTTTAACATTTGGAGCTAAAATACTTTATAACATTTCTGAAAGATACATGATAAGATTTAACATTTTATTCACATGTGTACTGACGATGCAGCACTTATATTCTTCCTTCCTGCCTGACTGAAATGAACAATTTTAGCCCATTCTATGTTTGTGTGTGTGATAGGGTGAGCCTGGTAGTGGACTTCCTGGTCCTCCAGGTTTACCAGGAATACCTGGACCTAAAGGTTTCCTTGGACCAAAGGGAGATCCTGGTTTCTCTGGAAGTCCTGGTGCACCAGGCCGACCTGGATTTGATGGAACTCCTGGACCTAAAGGTATTCCTCAGAAAGGGACAGCATGTGTGTGTGTATATGTGTATGTACCAGTATTATTCATACAAGCAGTTAAGGGTGATCAAATGTATTCATTACTAAGAAACACTCTTTTTTGTCCAGGTGATCCTGGAATACCTGGTATACCTGGAGCACGTGGACCACCTGGACCACCTGTTGGAGGCCCTGTGGGGCAACCCGGCCCTCCTGGACCCTCAGGTCCAGTGGGACCACCAGGTAAAACAAAAAAGATACATTTTACTTTATATGTTTATTACTTTTTTGTTGTTGGTGGTTTTGTTTAATTGGTAAAATGCAAAGTATAATGTTTACTGATAAAGGTTGTACACGTTGTAGTCTGGAAATGTTCATTTTTCATTTTGCACTAAATATGTGTGTTTTCAAACACAAACTTCATTCACAGAAAGGTTTTCCATGATTTCAAAGATCAATTTTTACCAGATAAAAAAAGACACATAATTATTATATAATGTCTAATCAGTCAAAAGTGAGGGCGCCAGGATTAGGCATAACAGGATTGCCAGCCAAAGGCTGTTGCCTAAAACAAACCAGGTGTGCACAATAGAATGTCTTCTAGAGTCTTCTAGAAAAGTTCACATCCAGTTGCCTAAACTGAACTTTTCAAGCTTGACCATGACCTGGATGACTGAGAATCTTCACAGACACAATAGAATGCTAAGTTGCCGTAACTGTTTTTTTTTTATAGCGTAGGTTATCTATATTTCTATATAAAAGACAATGCATGTACAAGATGGCACAGTAACATTTGTCAAATTTAATGTTTACTTCAAAAGTCATTTCTAACATTTAGTGGAATGTTTGCTACATGTTTTTAGCTAGATTAAAGGTTCAGACATTGTTTTGCTATCAGATGATGAAGTCTTGACATTGTATCTGTAGGTTTCCCTGGAACGAATGGAGAAAAAGGAGATCCTGGACCCCCAGGTCTTGATATTCCAGGTCCACCAGGAGACAGAGGTAGTCCTGGTTTCCCAGGTTCCCCGGGAGCCATAGGAACACCAGGACCTCCTGGAGGACCGGGACGTGATGGAGTGCCTGGAGCGACAGGTAAAATACCATCCTAATTCAACTGACCCATATCAATTGAAAAAATATTTTAAATGTAAAGGTTCGGCCAAAGTTTTTAACAATTGGTTTTGTCAGTTTAAACCATCATTATGAGCAGTTGGTCCAATTGTGAAAAAACATATATTTTCCTTTGTTATTGACAGTAGAAAGAAGAAAGTACTTTTTTAAAACATTGTGATTTATTTAAATGATCATGAAAATTAATTTAAACCAAAATTAATAAAAATGGTTGATTTAAAAAACACCTGATGAATGATTTTTGGAAATTTTTCTAAACCTTATTTATTACATACAAATAAAATAAGAAATGCATTTTTGTGTGTGCAACAAATCTGTCTAACAAGTTATCTACTCCAACAATTCTGTAACAGGTTGTAGATGACAAAAATAAAATGCCAGCACTGCCCAACTTGTTCTCCATCCAATAAATCTATTACAATTACCTCCTCAAACTTACCAGAACTAGTCTTTAACTTTGATAAGATGACAGATTTTTTTCCATTGGTGTGTAGGCATTTTGTAAATTGCCCTAATGCTTTGAAAAAGTAAAATTTTCTTTCTTTTTGTTCTCCTGGTACTACTTAGTGATTGCTTAATGCTTAATTTTAGTTATGATTGAACTTTTTTTACTTGTCTGTCTTCAGCTTCAACATCTCTTTGCTGTTATCTTATAGGTCAGAAAGGTGACATGGGTCCCATTGGATCTCCAGGACCGTCTGGAGGGCCTGGTGCCCCAGGAGGGCCCGGTGCACCTGGATTTAAAGGTATGCTCACATACTATACGTCATTCAAAATTACATGAAATTACATGAATTACATGAAATACACATATTTTACACAGAGAATACTCTAAACGATTTTTTTAGTACAGGAAATTGGACTTTAAAAGTTAACTACATGCTCAAGCTTTGTTTTTACTTTTAAAACTGGAAGCACGTAGTCTGTCTTTCTAAATAATGAAGAATTTTACAGAGGATTTATTGCAGTTAAATAGGTAGAATGAATGTGATTTCAACATGTAAACTGCACATTTTAAGTCACAAGAGGCACAGCAGCATTGTTTAACCTCTCCGATGCTTGTGTTTGTCTCCACAGGTGACCCAGGATTTCCGGGTAGAGATGGTGCACCAGGTAATTCTGGTGCAAAAGGAGAGAGAGGAGACCCCGGCACACAAGGGGCCCCAGGAATCAGTTATCCATCTGTTGCTTCAAAGGGAGATAAAGGAGAACCAGGGCAAACAGGTACAGCTGAAAACCTTTACTATAGACTGCTTTCAGTGGGTTATTTTTAAATCTTACAGCTACTAATCATTTCCATTTTGAATTCCACTATGTAATTGTGTTTTACACAGGTCCAGCAGGTTCACCAGGGCAGAAAGGGGTCGCTGGTATCGCTGGTGACCCTGGATTGCCAGGATCAGATGGACGCCCCGGAACCCCGGGACCACCAGGTATGGGTTCACATTTTCTGTAGATATATCTTTATCAAAGGGCAGTTTCATTTCCAACTTTTTGCATTGGTAATGTGCAGGTTTTAAGGGAGACCCGGGCATCCCTGGAGGTCCAGGTGGTCCTGGAGCTCAAGGACCTAAGGGGACCATGGGAGAAATGGGAATTCCAGGTGGGTGAGCATGATTATCATACAATGTTTTTGTCTCCTATATGATCTTTGTGTATTTGTGTAAGTAAGCATGCTGCAACTTGAGAGACAGTTCAGACCACACATAGACTGAGCAAAAAAAGACTTAAATGGCAATTTTATATTCACTTACATACATTTCTCTCAACATCTAGTTGGACCATACACTGGGGCTAGGCTAGTTACCTTCTTCAAGGGGCTTTTAAACCTGTAATAGCTTACATAATGCACATACACTGCTTATGTATCCAAGATTTTCACTTTTTTTTCCATTTTTTGTTGTTTGTTTGCTGCAATGGTGTACTTGTGGTGCATTCATTAACAAACGAGAAATCTAAATTTCTGTGAGGCACAGAAAATGCAGTATCATATGTAGCTGAAGGGAGTTGGAAATAAAGAGAAGAAAGGGAGGATGACCTTTTAAATTAATCTACTCTGTAAATCTGAATGGTATTATAAAGATTTACAAATTTTCAGTTATAAAAACTAGACTTTTGTCTTGTCTTTTTCTATTTATTTTCTGTAATGCTCACAAATATGTGCTCTCTAATACAGAAAATGTCATTTTTGTTATGACATAATAAATATACTCAATACGGTGTACATATGATAGTATTGTTATTATAATTTAAGGGTAACAATTCCATATTTTTCAAATTTTGTGTCAGGGCTCTAAATGCCAACCATCCCAACGTGTATTATCAATGTCATTGATATCACAGGACCACAGGGGCTGAAGGGTACATCAGGTAATCCAGGTAGGTCAGGGACCCCAGGTCAGCCAGGAGCACCAGGTCCTCAAGGCTTCAAAGGCGACCCAGGTTCTGCTGGCGTTGGACCACCGGGACAAGCAGGACTAAAGGTGACACATGACATGGATTTCTTTGTTAGTACAATTTTGAGGCTCACCATTTCACTCACACCTCATTTAATCTCTCACAGGGTGAGCCGGGCCAGCCCGGGTTTCCAGGAAGTCCAGGACAGAAAGGAACCTCAGGATCGCCGGGTCTGCCAGGTTTACCAGGAGGGCCGGGGGAAAAAGGTGATATCGGACCCCCAGGATTCCAAGGTGAATTTGAAGTCTGACTACAGTCAAAAGGATGCCAAGATTATTACGAGTGGTTGGCATTACAAAGTATTTTAAGAAGAGAAAAAACTGAAAGTACAGTCACAGATACCCTGACTCATGTTCTCTGTTGTAATTCTTTCAGGCCCACCTGGTATCAGTGGTCCTAAGGGTCTTGATGGCAGGCCTGGAGGCCCAGGCCCCTCTGGAGCTCCAGGTAGACCAGGAGAGTCTGGTCGACCGGGGCCATCCGGAATTCCAGGGGAGAAGGGTCAGCCGGGTCGGGACGGGATCCCAGGCCCAGCTGGAGTCAAAGGAGACCCGGGTAGGTCAGGGGTCTAAGGGTGTGGATGATGCACAAATGGTCTTTATAGTGCATTCAGTTGGGTTTGATTCAATGTATTTTCTCTGCAGGGCTTCCTGGTTATGGTGGACCTGGTCCTACTGGGTTGCCAGGGGACCCAGGTGAGATTCTGTTCACTATACTTTCATAACACACACTTCCATTGGTACATCATTTTCTTCAAGCCCCTTGTTTTTCTCATTTTCCCTGGTAAGGTCCCAAGGGAGACCCAGGTCCTCCTGGTCAACCTGGAAGTCCAGGTATTGCCGGCGTTAAAGGAGACCCAGGCTTTTCCGGTCTGCCAGGTCCTCCTGGTGCCGGTGGCCCTCCAGGGCCTCCAGGACCGACTTTCCCAGGTCTTAAAGGCAACCAAGGACCACCCGGACCACCTGGGAGAGCAGGTAAAAGCACTGGGTCCATGTTGGGAACTTTGTGTGCTGGTTGCTGCCTGTTTTTTATGGTGCTGGAGAAGATGACTCTCAGACAGGTTTCTAACATCTTGTATGGGAAGGGGTTTGAAAGTTGCAAAAAAATTTTAAAAGCATGAATCTAAAAGAAGTTAAACATGCCTCTGAATAAGCAATGTAAACACAGTCCTGTTTAAACTAATGTATCAGAGACTGATGGATGTTTCATCCCAGCTGAGAATCATTTCTTCTTTCACCAAATCCAGGCAGTGAATGGCAGAAACTCCTCCTAATATGCCAGCTCTCCCACCTCCCAGTCATTTGATTTGCATGCGTCAGCATACTCTCCCTCTCACAGGATGTCGGGATGTTCCTCCTTTTCACCAATGAATGTTTTCACACAAGGAATTCACCATGTTCCGACCAAAAAAAAAGTCCTCCGTTCCTCCTCATGATTGTGCCTGCGTCTTCATTTGTCTTTCATCCACCCTCATGTCACCTTTCTTTTCCTCCTCTCTTCATCCCATCACAGTGGGGGGGGGGGGGGGGTAATCTCTCCATCTCTCCACAGCCCTGAAACACTGTAAACGTGTTTGTGTGTGTTTGTCGTCACAGCCGGCGTGTGTTGGGTATCTGTGGATCATGATTGATGAAAAAATTAATTAATTAATCTGATACAACTGAGCCAGAGACAAACTCAAAGAGGTCTCTCCAGACACTCTTTCAACATTGGATTCAAAAGACATGCCTCCAAACCCATATTTACCAGTATAAATAACCATAAGCTTTGGTCCAGACGAGTGTTTTGGGTTTGTGTCTGGCTTTGCTGTCTTTATCGTGCTCTGTCCCACCAATCAAGTCACATGCATGGACACTGCATGTGTACAAGACAACCAGCCTCACACAGCACTGGACAGGGGGTCCATTACGTCTCATTTTCCAGCCGTGACCCAGAATTGATAAGAAATTACCTTAAAAAAACAAATGAAAGCCCATTTAAAAATGCAAACTGATCCTTGTGCTGGTATAGCACATCAAGGTGCCATAATGTGCCACCTTTGTACTTGTAACTGGGGCAAACAGAACTCCAAAAGCATTTACAGCTTCCCGTTAAGATTGTGTCATGGTGGAAAATGGGCCCCTAGCGCCGTGGCTGTGTGAGGCTGGAGAAGAAAAAGCCCTCCAGTTGTTTATCGGAGTGTCGGGTTGATAAATGTGATGTGATAAACTCCTACGCCTTGTTTTCCCCGTGGCTTGGCTCCACCCACTATGGTGCGGCCCCACCTCTCCATGCAACAACTCTTGAATCCGGCCCCCCCTGCAGGTCTCACAGGTCAGATGAACGGTGCCCAGACTTTTGTTGCACGCCCCTTTACAGTCACACTGACCTGAGTTTAACCTCACCTTCTGACCCACTGGGGGAAGACAACAATCACTCTGAAGGAAATGTCTGGGAAATCAGCGCATCTTCTCTTCTACTTCTTCTTAATGACTCTCTTTTCTCTTTTTCCGTGCACACTGATGATAGGATAGTTCACCTTTAACAAGTAAGCACATTTTTGAGGAAAAAAATAAATTCACACAAAATAATGAATATAAAATCCACTCTGAAAATTAAAATAACAGGACTGAAGGTTAAAGTCTAGCTCTATACGCATGTTAGTCTCATCACTTGAAGGTGCTGTTGTATTTTGAGAATGTGTTTTTGCCAACAGCACCATCTGATTAATTCACCAAATCTGATATAACTAACTCACCTAAGAAATCTGATCATTCTTTTTGTATCACACATTTTAAAAATAAGTTTTTGTCTCTATCTTAGAATCATTTTGAACTGTATTCTACTGTAAACAAAATGTTGGTTAAAAGTGTGGTTTATGACTCCAGAGCACCTTCAAAAACCTCAAGTTTTCTCCCATATAAAATGCCTCTCCAGGCCCCTGCTGTTACACCTGAATTACCAAAAAAGTATGGACATTGTGTAAACTATAGAAAAAGTAAATAGATACCACGTTGGCAAATCTATCATGATTTTTTTTTTTTTAAAAGCTCTCATTCTGAGAGACTCTACCTCTCTGAGGTGTTCTTTATATATCGCTTAACTGCAGTATGTTCTCTCAGTTGTTGTTTTTTAAATTTAATGTATTTTCCCGTCTTCTGTTTTCAGAAGATGGGAAGTAGGTGCTGTCAAATTCAATAAGAACTATCATTTTCCATAAAACAATAAAAGGCTTCACTTCCAACAGTGTTGCATCTACTATTGAAAATCCAATTTAGGTTTAGAAGATCCGGAAATGATGACATCCTGATTATTTTCACAACTTTTTGGGGGGAACTATAAAAAAAGCCTATGTGAATAGATAGCTGCTGTAAGTTTCCAAATCCGGGAAAAGTAACAATTATCAATTAAAGCAATTTGCTGCAGATTTAAGAGAATCATTTGTGTCATCACAAAATTAATCTTTTTGGTAGCCGACATTCTGTGTTCTGTGCTCCAGACATTAGCAGCTCAGAGTGGGAGCACACTTTGAGATAATTTGAGGTGCTGTCGAGCAACATGAAAACTAGAGACTAGAGACTATTTCTAAAGGAGCTACATGAATAGTCCAGAACGTCAGAAGTTTTTAAACTCAAGAAGAATGTGGCAACTTAGAGTACAAGTACCGAATCCATCCTCCTCCCTCTCTGCTGTGCTTCAGCTCATGTTTATATAAAGCATTACTATCCAAGCATAGTGAGGGTGTCATTAAATGAGGCAAATATGTAATTTTCCCCAATCGATAAAATTGAACTCATTCAATAGATATTTTGATGAGCTCCCACCAGAAAAGACAGAATAGCTCTTTTATCGTAAAGTCTGACTGTTTCTCTGCTGTTGCCTAACTCTGTCTGAACCCTCTCTTCTTTTTTGCCTTGTGCCATCGTTGCGGCTCCGATTTACCTGGAAATTCTGGGAACCTCAGGTCCTCCAGGTTAGATCAAATGGTTTATGATGATGCGCAGAATGTGGTCAACTCTGAACATGGTTTGTGGGGAAACATGAAAGGCTGGTTTTGCGTCTCACTATCGCTTTTACCTTCTCTTGATGAGCTCCAAACAACACGGTGGACATCTCAAGCCCCACCAAGAGACATAAACACAGCCATATGCAAAAAGCACCGTGCTGAAGAGGAGTTTTATTGTGTTTATTTCCTTTTTATTTCCTAGGTTTTCTTTTCTTAGGAACTATCGACATACACATCCGTGTATAAAGTTTTTCTTTATTACTTTCCCTTCAATTTTGTGTTATATAACCTCTCATTTCTGTGTATTTTTATGCAATGATTGAAATTTAAGTGGCATTTAAATATATTACTCCAGGCTTTCTCAAGGACTTTTCAACTTTTCGTCGTACCAGCATGAGTTTTCACTCACTCTTAGTCCAGTACTTATCCAAAACATGCGGTAATCATAAGTCTGTGTTGATCCACGTAACACTGACCTATGACTTAACCAGGCATTAAAAAAGGATGGGCCAGTGTTATATTTATTAGGTTGTTTTATACAACACACAAATCAGCTAGGAGACATTGTAACTATGTTTTGTTATTTGCAGCCTGACAATAAGAACAATCATTTGTTCTATTTTTAGTTGTTTATTTTTTAATGTGCTTAAAATGGATTGATCCCATGTGACATCTTCATGTCGCTTTTATATTCAGATATACATAAACATGAGGAGTAAGTATTTTACAGCAATTTATGTAGAAAAAGTTGGTCCTCAAAAGCTATGAAATGTCCTTTAAGAACCCTGGAGAACTATTCTTAAAGACTACTTATCGAAGCCTAAGGCTTTACTTAATAATGTAACATACCTGACGTTAACTCAGACAAAATTCACTTTTCAAGGGGCATTAAATCAATTCCAGCTCTGGACAAGCCATGATAGCTTATGTCTGTAATGTTATAATACTTTCTTCCTAAATCATGCCCGTTTGACCCTCTACCTCTTGCCTCTGAAGGTCAGCCTGGCCCACAGGGTCCCCGTGGACCTCCAGGAAGTGGCGGCGTAAAGGGAGAAAAGGGTATTCCAGGCGCTCCCGGGCAGCCTGGCTACGCTGGACAGAAGGGCGACATTGGTTCTCCAGGATTCCCTGTAAGATTATGTTGTTGCACCCTCTAAACACCCCTGACCTCAAAAGATCTCACAAAATCAAAGCTTTCAAACATCCAACTCGCTTGAGATGTAACCATCAGCACTCTTTTTTTTTTCAGGGTGGTCCCGGTTCACCTGGTCCATCCGGTGCAAAGGGAGACTTGGGTCTCCCAGGTATTCCTGGATTCCGCGGTTAGTTTAAGATTATGTAATTTTTGGACTTTCTCTATCCTGTAAAAACATATTTCACTCCTAAGTGTTCATTGTGAGCAATGCCAGGAAATTAGTTTTGTCTCTTTCTACCAGGAAACAAGGGAGACCCAGGACTTCCAGGTCCAAGTGGCCTACCTGGAAATCCTGGCAGAGAGGGATTGCCTGGTGAGTGAACGAGCCTTCCACTGCAGTCAAAAGCGAGTTGTGAAATATAATCGAGAAACACTAGATCGTCATTCTCCTTCTTGTTGAAGTCCTCTGAAAGAATGTTCCTTGAAAGTTAAATGAAGAAATACTAACATATTACTTTTGATTAGGCCCACCTGGTGATCCAGCTCCCCAGTCTCCAGTCAATTTTGTGAAGGGAGCACCAGGGCCCCCTGGTCCTAAGGGTGAACCAGGTCCTCGGGGATTACCTGGCTCACCTGGACGAGAGGGATTACTGGGTAAGAGAATTTTGACTTTGATCATACCAGAGGAAAGTCGCAGGAGAAACTAGGACAAGAAAATGAGATTCTGGCATTTAGGATTCCAAACACCAAAGCCTGTACTTTGTTTTGGAAAAAATACAGAGATAATGTGACACTTGACCTGAACTCAAAGTGTAAACACGACCGACATGCCGCCATACTTGGTTTGTCACACTTTAACCCCGTCCTCTAGGTCCTCCTGGTGATCCTGGAAATCCTGGTTTAGATGGTCCTCCTGGCTTCAATGGTCCTCCTGGGAGAAAGGGAGACAGTGGACCAACTGGTCAGCCCGGTGAGTAAAAGTGGATCAAAATACCATCAAAATATGGCGCCCGACCCTTTGTTGGACGTTTCTCATTTCGTCCAACGGTAACCCTAACATTGCGATCCGATCCTTGACCCCCTGATGCTGCGACGGTTTCCCATTTTTGATCACTGTTTTCACTCCAATCCCAGGTCAGCGTGGCTTCTCTGGTCCTCCTGGTTCCGATGGTCCACAGGGTCCCCCTGGTCTTCCAGGGTCAGTCTCTGCAGCCCACGGTTTTCTCATCACCCGTCACAGCCAAATGGAAGACGCTCCTTCCTGTCCCCTTGGAACTAACCTCATCTACGACGGCTACTCTCTGCTCTACGTGCAGGGCAACGAGAGGGCGCACGGACAAGACCTCGGTATGGGAGATTTCTCTTTTAACAGAGCTTTTTCTTTTACCTGGAAGCTGTATAGGACTACGAGGAAATTGAGTATGGGAAAAAAAAACAACCTTAATGATGTCGTTCTATCTATCCAGGCACCGCCGGCAGCTGTCTGCGCAGATTCAGCCCCATGCCCTTCATGTTCTGCAACATCAACAACGTCTGCAACTTTGCCTCACGTAACGACTACTCCTACTGGCTGGCCACGCCGGAGCCCATGCCAATGTCCCCCGTCAGCGGAGAGGGCATCAAGCCTTTCATCAGCCGGTAGGGAGGAGGGGGGCGTGGAGCACGGTTCGGCCCGGGTAACGCTGAACTTTCAGATGTATACGTACCCGCCTGTGCTCATGCTTCCAGGTGCGCAGTGTGCGAAGCTCCAGCCATGGTTATAGCAGTTCACAGCCAGACCATCCAAATTCCTTCATGCCCTGGAAACTGGGATCCTCTTTGGATTGGATACTCCTTCATGATGGTAGGATGACGCTCAAATCTACTAAAAGAAAAAAAAAAAAAACTCATTCTCTGGCGTCATAATGCTGGTAATCATCTCTTTTGTGTGCCGAAAAGCAACAAGAAAACTTGTAAATAAAGAATCTGTCTACTTTGTGTCGAACATTTAGCTGTTATTTAACTCAAAAGGCTTTTGCGCTTTCCTAGTGTTATATATTGGCATTTATTATAAAACGTTCTAGCTAGAAAATGGTTGGAGCCAACCATACAATATAAGGCTTTCTCATTTTGGGTCAGCTAGCTTTGCTTCTTGTCTTGCTAGCCAATGCCGATTAAAAAATATGCCATTTTTTGTCTTTCTAACCTCTTGACTTACCTAAAATCATGGACAACACAGTTTTTATCATAGTTAATGACATTTTGTCATAACAAGAACATTATAATCAAGATAGCACATTTACAAAGATAAGCTCTTTAAATAATGTTATTTGTTAGCTTGTTAACTATCACTAGCATAACGGTACTGCTGTCTGTGTTCACATCTCATAATTGTCTTTACTTTATTGTTATACTCAACAAGAAAAATGACTACATATGAGATGTTTTCCTTCTGTTGAAAATAAGAAGATAATGGCTGAAAATGACCGATAAATTTATCCTGTATGCTAGACAACGCTGAATTCACCCTAAATTCAAAGTTTCGCTCGACTGCATGGCTTCGGATTTTGAAAGCTGCTGTATCACAGCGTGATTCAGCATGCCTGACACTCTCCACTGTCCTTCCCAGCACACCAGTGCAGGTGCAGAGGGCTCCGGCCAGGCCCTGGCCTCTCCTGGCTCCTGTCTGGAAGAGTTCCGCAGCGCTCCCTTCATAGAGTGCCACGGGAGAGGGACGTGCCACTTCTACGGCAACTCCTACAGCTTCTGGCTGGCCACCGTGGAGACTTCTGAAATGTTCAGGTACATATGTGTTTCCAAATGGGGGGTTCTTTCATTACAGAGGAAAATTTGACGATTAGCAGTAGAAACATAACTGCAAAGTCAATATTCTATTTTACATAAAGGCATTTATTTAAAGTTAAAATTTGACTAAGATTATCTAATTATGGAACATTTCTCCATACATAACACTAAAGTGCTTTAAAACATGACATTTATCATTACAATGCAAAATAATTTGATAACCACAAGGTAGAATCAAAGACTCCTTTACATCTTGATGTAATGATAAATGCAAAGGATGAAAATAATTATGCCTTTAACCACGATAGTAACATTTTAAAAGAGCACTTTGAGTTTGTGTTCAGGAAATTATGGTTTGACTTCTAACAACAGTTTAAAAAAAAAAGTATTTTAAAGAAAAGGTTTAAAAAGTATTACCTCTGTCAAACCTTTGACAGTACGAATCGGTTAATTAAAAATTAGTGGAAAGATTGATGGTTAATTTGAAAAAAAAAACAATATTAACTTGGAAGATGATTTAATTTGGCTTAATATGCAAAGAAGTCAATATAAGACGCTTAAAAAGCATTTCCAAATCTAAATTCTGATGGCTGCTTAAGCACGAGAGCTGCCACGTGTCCTCGGCCACGTATCCAAATGTTTTTTCTTTCCTTTGACTCCTGCAGGAAGCCCCAGTCGGAGACCCTAAAGGCGGGCAACCTTCAGTCCCGCGTCAGCCGCTGCGTGGTCTGCATGAGGCGCACGTAACGGAGCACGGCAGCGAGCGGGCCCGCCGGTTGCCGTGGGAACACCCAACCCGGCAGCACAAGAGGGATGATTCGGTGAAATGACGGGGGACGAGTTGGGGGTGTGGGCAGTCACTGCCCCCGATGAGGTGGAATTCCAATGTTGCATTGTCTTCCGGAGAAAAAAAAAAAACACACAAAAAAAACAAAGAAAAGCAGAAGAGAGCAAAAACTACGACTAAAACAATGGTGCTACTGTGCAACACAGCTTAAAAAGAAAAAAGAAAAAGAAAGAAAAAAAACTGACGTAAAGAAATCTTACATTAAGTCTCTGTTCTTAAGAAGTACCTCAAAAACAAAAGCAGAATTATATCCACTAAATGTGCCGTGATGGATGTGTGACAACTAAAGTGCATTTTCAGTCCTTCTTTTCCAAAAAAAGGATCATTCTTTTTCTATCTCTTTATTTTATTTTTTTAGATCACTTTTATCACTTTTTTTCGCTTTTTTTTTTTGTGGCCTCACTGTTGAGGAGGATGATCTCCACGGTTACCGCAGCGGCACTTTGACTTCGGAACATCCAGGATGAGAGATGCACTGACGATGAGCTTTCCCTCGTGAGACTGACTGACTGCCTCTTTTACCGCGAGCTGTTCACTCACACACTCCCCCTTTTTTTTCTATCTCTCCGTGTCCTTTTTCTCTGTGGTTTTGTGTTACATTCGGTGGTACTAACTCTGCTCTAGCCCGCCTGCTAACCCTCGGCCCCTCAGCCTACCCCTTCTCTCTCTTCCTTTTTTATTTTGTATGTAATATGTGTATATTGTGTAAAACACCTGTTCGTTCCGTAGCGTAGTCGGCCTTTAATCAGTACCCAGCTACTCTCCAGGTTCTCTTTAGCCCACGCGCGCTCACACACACACTTGCACACACACTTACTTCAATGGTTGCTGTGACTAACTCAGTGACACTACTCAGATATTGTACAAAGTAAGGCTTTTATGAATGAAACAGTATTTTATATGTAATAAATATATATTTGAAAAAAACTTTATTTGGCTACGGGGGAGATTGTTCACTGTTTTCAACCACGAAAAAAAAAAGGTCATCCATATAAAAAAAAGCTAGCTACTGAGCACCAACAGAGCCATTTTCCCTAAAACACTATAGTCTTGTATGATATTAATTTTGTCAATTGCTTGAACCTTTCTATTCAGTTTGTAGATTAAATGAATGCTCAAACAAACGGGGGTTTGCTTTTTAGTTAGTCTATTGTTTGGGGAATGTGACAAATACTCGTGCAAAAGAAAAGGATTTGAACTCGGTCTCTAAGAATCGATTAGAGCGTCACACGACTTGTTCTCATGCAGTTAACATTTCCAGGTGCTGAGCTTTGACTGTAAAAAAAGAAAAAAAAGAAAAGAGCTCCTCTGGGTCCTCACACCCGCTTCTACTGGCTTGAACTTTGATCCAAAAGCGGCCCGAGCGTCTCCGCTGGGCCCTGACGACACACAGGTCTGAGTGTCTGTTCGTTTAAACCAGGCCCCGGATGTGGCCCCTCTCACATCAGTGGGGGTAAACACTCCTGATGTACTGTAAGTCTCTAAAAGAGCTGTTTTTTTTTTTCTTTATTAGAAGCGTTGGGGGTTGTATTCCTGTGATTTAATTTTATTTTTTTTCAAAACTGCTTTTATGGATTCAAATGTTTTTAACCTGGGGTGCGATTAAAAATGTATTCCCTGTTTTTTTTTCTGTTTTTTGTGTTCATGTCATGTTACCCTGAAGTTGTTATACTGTTAAACCTTTAAAAATGTAATAAATACTGTCTAAAGTCTTTTCTTGTTGACAAAAAGTCCTGTCAAAAAAGAACACTTTACATGTTAAAAGTCATGTTTTCAACAGGTCCTAAAAGAGACACAACAAATTCATTATTCTAAAGAATATGCAGAAATTCTGAAGCAGCAAAGAAAAAAAAGGGTATTTCATAAAGCCCATATCACTAGAATTCCTCCACCGTGCTTGGCAGTTGGTATTTCCTCCTCCGCAGAGATCTCCAACTCAGGTCCGTGAGGGCTGCTAGATTTTTCATGAATTCCAAACTGTTTATGACAAGGGCAGATTTTCTATGAGTCAGTTTATGCACTGGTCAGGACGAACATTACAACACGGACCAGGCTACCCATTTTGAGTGCGTATATGTGAAGAACTTAAGAGCTAAGCTCCCAGTGCTCTGGAACATCTCCCTGTGGTGACCAGCAGATAGCAGCAGCAGTGCAGAAACATGCTTATGCAGGCTGTGCTTCTACATTCTCCAGAAGTCGTTTTCATATTAGGAGTCCATGTTAAAAAACTTTTAAATAACCATAGAAAATTTTTAAAAAGTTTTTAGCAATAGATTGTATGTGTCCAGATTATTATCAATAGATTTGGATAATGATCTCATTACCCAGATCTGTTCTTGATTGGCTTTCAGACGTAGTGTCTAAACACCTTGCTTTTTTGCCTTGGTATTAAATATATCACTGGTGAGTTTAACCCAAAAAAATTAATGCCAACAGCCACAAAAATGGCAACACACAAAAACTACTACGGGTTTTTGTCAAAAAAGTTGAGAATGTCATCATTTCAACTATAATCTCAAATATACAGTATGAATATGATAGATAGATAGATAGATAGATAGATAGATAGATAGATAGATAGATCAAAGAAGTTTCGTTCACAGGGTTCAAGAAAAACACTGGGGAAAAAAGGATGAACAGAGCACGGCTACAAAAAAAAAGCGACTGAATGAGTAGCCAGAGAGATAAATCATTTGCAAGGTCTCTTCTGTCTCCCTGTGGCGACCCCGGCCATTGTTTTGACCCCATAAGCCCGTTAAGTGCACAGGCTTTCTGGAGTAATCTACTTCCTGATTTGTTCTGGCTGAGCCAGAGAGCTGAGAGAGGATCGGAGGTGCGGTGGTCTGTCGTCTCGGCCCGCTAAGCTGTGCAAAGCTGCTCCTGCTTGGCGGAAATACAAGCTGATCTTCCGTCTTAAGTGCGTTATCTGGGCTTCCGCTCTGTACCTACGGTGCAAAAACCGAAGACAAAAAATAACATAGAAGCACCTGAAAGGGACAGAAAACATAACACGAAGCATTAAGGCCCGATGCTACATGTGGCCTCATATCACGAAGTTGCCTTTTGAATACGTCGCCAAACTGAGTGCGGTGTTGGGATTCATTTGAGGCATTTACATTTCTGATGGATGCTGATGCACCATTTTAAAAAGCAGCAGGAAAACAGTGGCAAATTTTGTGAGATGGCTAAATGCTTCTTTGTGTCTCCTGAAATGAAAAGAGCTGCTTTTTTGATCGTGAATCAAAGCAACAAAGAAGATCCAAAACCAAAACACCCACCCATTTTCATAAAGTCACATCAAATTCAACTTGGAAGTTTTTCAAACTCACAAAATCCAGGAGTCCAGGAGTGCTATAATACTAAAAGGCTGTGCTTATCAAAGCCTTTTAAAAAGCTACCTGCATTAAACAGCAGTTCAGTTTTGTACAAATTATATAAATATATAAACTGTGATTTCTCTGTTCGCGAGCACTCCAAGGCCGTTTCAGGGCCGTTTCCCAGACAGCAAAGTGCGTAGATCAGCACAGGGACGCTCACAAACGTCGTCAATCAGTGCGAGACAGATGCAAAAGGGTAAATTAAGCAAACAGACAAGAGAAGGACTCAAATGTGATGTCTCTGACGAGAAGAATCACTAACCACAGACATGAATGACGGAGAACCAGACCTCACTGCTGAGTGAACAGATTCACAGAGGCCTATTCTTCCGTTTCCAAGGACTTTCTAAAGAACTTCATGGAGAATCTTTTGTGCTGTGAGCCATCTGCAGCTACAGAGGAGAAGCACATTTAGTCTGGGGGCCATACTCCAGAATAATTCTAACTTTACTATGTTTAACATGGTTGCAGTGTGATAGGAATGTTTAGTTTATTTAATCACTTAAGCATATCTAGTCAATGATCCTTTGGTTTAGCTGGAAAACCCCCCCCCCAAAACAACTAAAAAGCTCATACCTCCATTGTCAAGTTTTGTTTTTCGTGTTTACACTTGCGTTGATACTTTTTTAGGTTCACCCAATAAGTTCAATTTCATTTAGTTTTCTGTTAACCTTTTTTTCTATGTTGAGAAAAGTATAAAAGTGTACAGCAAATGAACTACAGCTTTTTGTTAAGGCCTTTTTTATGCAAGTATTCAAGTATTATTCAAGTATTAGAACCCCAATTTTTTAGTAAGAAAGATCCACTTACAGCCTTCTAAGTGGAACTTCTGTTGCCACATCCGAGAACTTCTTGGGATCTGACGACATATATAGTAAATATGGCTCCCGCTCTGGAGGATTCCTGGAAAGCCATCACATTGCGACCTAAATAGAAAACTCTCCAGGACATAAGGTGGAGTTGAAGATGGAGCTAGTAGGATTACCCTTGACACAGTATTATTCTGGGGGTATCATCTCTAATAGGGTAAACAATCTGGGTTTGTTTGTATCTGGGGATTCCACCGAGGGCGGGGATTCTAGGGACTTTGGATGAAGTCACTGACGAAAATAATAAAGGAGACCTTAACAGCTGAAAGGTCCAGTACATCAGAGATACCCACCAGAGCTGCCAGCTGGGTTCCTACCACTAGCCTTCATACATACACCCATACGCACTGTTTTGAAACTCTAGCACCAGTCGACCGGCCCCGGTGGGCCGGCTAACGAGCCCATCAGTCGCGATGCTCTATGAGATCACACGCTAATGTTGACTGGCCCATTAGCCCCAATCGGCCACGCGCGGGCCGTATCTTATGTGGGTACAGCGTTCAGCGTCAGCATCTGTCAGTCGCTAAAGAAGCTGTGCTTGCAATCCCCCAGACTCGGGCAGCTTAGCTATGTTCGAATCATCCAAAGCTTCCTAGAATTAGAGAGGTATGAAAGGGCTGAAGGTCACGGTGCTTCAGAGTCAAAGCTATTCAATTAGCTTCTGAGCCACTCTGAAGCCGATTTAGAGGTTTTTAGATACTCATGTTACAAACCCACAAGTTTCCCCCTCCAACACGGGTCAACGCAGCTATTGGTCATCAGTGGGTTCATCTTATTTTCTGTACATTCAAGGGCAACTCAAGTTAATTCAATGTTGTAATGAAATGGACCACAACAGTTGGGAACTGATACATTCTCTTATCGAGTTGTTCCCAACGCAAAACAAACCGTAGCCTGACTCTAACCCAGTCAAAGCATGGCCACCGTGGGCCACTTCGACTTTCTGCATTGTTCTGTCTGACAACATTTTATTTGATAATATCTTTGGAAATAGCATACCTTTCGATATAACTTATATACTTTACTATGGTCTTTACCTTTACAGCAAGTCAGTTCCCGGGTATAGTCCCTGGAGGAACGGGGACCTTTCTGGAGTTCACCAGTCCTCCCTGTGTCTGCTGGGTTCTCTTTGGGTATTCTGGCTTCCTCTCCCAATCCAAAAACCTGCATGTTAGGTTGATTGGACATTCCAAATTTACCCCCAGGAGTGAATGTGAGTCTGTGTGGTTGTTTGTCTCTGTGTCATGGACCAGAGACCTGTCCAGGGTGTACCCTGCCTCTCCGGTCAGATGGAACTGCCCGAAATGAGTCCACTTTTTGGCTCCAAACTCCTAGCTAGCAATAGTTGCGCGTCGGTATTCCCGAAGCCTCCAGCAAAAGCTGCTTGTCAGGACTGGTTAGCTAACTAGAGTCTGATTTTGGAAGATAACAAGCAGTCAGCTAAAGGACCTCCTGAGATTTCTGAAGGAGAGGAACTTGTCTTATCTCTTTGCAGCAGCTTTAAAGTTTACAACGTAGCTTTATTTTCTGACAGCTCCTTGAAAATTCCTCAGATAAAGTGACTGTGTAAATTATCAAGGAGGATCGATATCTTCAGTTTTTTTTTTTTTTTTTTAAACCGACTGCTAGTTGAATACTCTCAAAGTTACACAAAAGTCAAGACATAATGAAGGGAAGAATTACGCATTAGTTTATCTATTTATATAACTGAAATATTTATCTGTTCGCAAAACAAATGGGTCGAATGATAACTTATTTAATATTTTGTTTAGCTAAGAACAAGTTTGTGTTCATTTTTCCATAATATTGTAACGTGATGTCTTTTTAGTGAGTCTGACGGTGTAATATGGAATTTCAATGCAGAGACCAAGTGAACTATTTGTGTTTTTTGTAAACCGTCCCAAATCTGGTTCTGTCTAAGGTTAATTCCTGTTAAACAACAGTTTTTTTCTTTCCTCAGACTAGTAGGAATAACACCGTAAACGTCATTACCGGGGTCAAAATGTGATCAAATTAGTTTAAAAGCAATAGCAAAAGCACAGCTTCCTGGATAACCGTTGTTCCCCAGAGAATCAAACATTTTCCTTCAGCTGACCAGCTTTCATAACCAGAGAGGACTTTGGGCTTGTTTTGACAGTTGGACTTTGGGATGTCGAGCCAGTCACCTGAGTTGGATAAACAGTGTTTGTTTTGTCATTGTCCGGAAGCCCTTCATCTGTTAAGAGCCTCAGGAATGAGGAAACATATTCCTGTTTTTTTTTTTTCACGTTCACCCTTCGGTTTAGCTTTCAGAGGCCAAGGGGTGATGACTCGGCAAAACAGATGAATGTTTTCTGTTTTTGTATTGTTTTGTATTCAAGCGTGGACAGAAACAATCGTAATGTTGGGAGTTTTCGGAGTGACACGAGTGTGTGTGTGTGTGTGTGTTGTCCTCAGCTCATTAGTTTTTATGACAGCTGTAATTAA